GCCAAGAAGTCATGCCACATATTTCAAATTCAAATTCTGTATATTTCACATTGGAATTTGTGGGTCAAATAAATGAAATTGTGCGTGTGCAAGACGTCACAAATATATTTGATTAAATTGTCAACAGTTGAACTCTGGATGATTGCATTTGCGAATCAGTCGCTCAGCTGTTGGCATCTTCATTGTTGACACATTTCCAAGTTGAACGTTGCAACATGAGCATGTGGCATGCAAATATACAAAACAATCGGGCTGTAACAACAAAAACAACACGAGCCTGGCATGCATTAGTAAAAATACAATACTTAAGCTGTGCCACATGACACACTCGTAGAAGGCGAATTCAAGTGGCGTGGGTGGTGCAGCCAATGCAATGTATATGGCACTTGAGAACAAAAGCGCTTAAGTGGTTCGCCGTCTACAGCTGTTAACACCCCCATCCCATTGCCGTGCGATTATTGTCCTTGTCAGTGTCATCATTGATTGTTGAGTGATAAGGCGCTGATAGCGTGTGCTTACTGTGCTCGAATGTCTCTCTGCACTCAAGCGTTGTCCTTGATCTTATTCGCACACGCTATGCAGCTGCACAATTCCAAGCTCATATGTGTTTAAATACCACAAGTGCTTGTCCTCCAGATCATTATCATTCAGCTCCTGCCATAGGCACGCGCGGCGACACTATGCCAGAAAAAAATAAATGCCATTAATCATTTAATTGTCACCGCAAAATCGTAACCGAATTAACATTCAATTAATGCAAATCGATTGAGTTTTTATTGCCCGTGCGGCCACCAGATGCTTTTTATATTATTTTATGCAATTAATTATGCGTGCAAGGACAGCAAATCAGAATAAAAAAAATAAATAAAAAAATGTGCTGAAACATGATTTTATACATATGCTTGAATAATATTTTTGATGAAATAAAACTAAATAATATTACTATTACTGACATTAAAACTGATAGGAAAATATTATTACTAGTAATAAAACTAATATTTAGTTCCAAAAATTAAATAAAAAATCAGAGTTTTCCGAAACGAAAATAAAATAAATAAAGTGAGAAATTTAAATAAATATACTTTATATTCACAAAGACTAAGACAATTCCTCATCACTTCTCATATATAATAAATTCTATTATTTTATTTATTTTTTGTTTAAATAAATTAAAATGTTGTATATTTTCAAGACCAAAAACATATTTTGAATTCACAAAAAAAAAAAAGAACCGAATTTAAAACTATTACAAATTTTCCAATATGTCAAGCTAAGTCAATTTTGCTGACGACAAAATCACAATTTTGTATCCAATTCTTTTCCGTGTAACCCATTCAGATTGGTTTAGGGTATAAAAAATAACTAGCATATTATATTTTCATGCCAGTAAAAAGTTTTAGAATTGCAGAAAAACGTTTGTTTGCAGAATGCAAATTTTAATTAAATCTGTAATTATGCGCAAACACGTTTATATCATTTGGCAAGCCGCAAATGTTCATTTAGCAACATTTTCAAGTAATTAATTAAAGCCAAAAAAGTATTTCATTAATAAACTAACCGAATGTATGACATTAAAGCTTAACGCATAATTGGCCAAGAGTTAGTTAGGCATATCAAACAAAATGATAATAGCGTGAGAAAATGTACATGTATTTGATATGCTAAAATCGGTCTGACCCACAGGTTGGCTAGTAAAGAAGGCAACAGCGAGAATTTATTGTACTTTGTGATCACCGTGTTAAAGTTCATAAATTTATTTCCATCAATTGATTGAGCATTTTTCAATCAAATATGTCACGTCAAAAACCGCGTTGGCTATTATCAACCTCTAGCAGTGGGATTGCCTGCCAGCTATCCAGATTACATACAGTTGTGGTTGCCAATTTAGTTTCACTTGCTTTGATTAAAAATTTTCCTTTTGATACCCTGTAAACAATAGCGGCAAGAAATTGTTGTTTATATTTTGGATACATAGATAGGAGATAGCAATATAAATAGGTATAATTTATACACTTTATATTTAATATATATACTGATTTTTTAAACATTAATCGTTTCGTCTGTATGGGGTTGTTGATCTCTGGGATTGATAAGACCGGAGTTACTAAAAAAAATACTGGGGTAACTTTTTTATTATGAAATATATATATATTAGTAACTTTTTCCGAGCTCCATCAAAAAAGCTTTTGATCTGGTTACAGGGTATCTCATAGCAAGCACTCCAATTTAAAGTATTTATGTTTCGTATGTTTTTTTATTTTATTCACTCTGCTTTGGTTTATTATCGGTGTACAATCTATTCATTCCCATGGCAATGTCCTTAGGTTCTCTGGCACGCATCATCGGTAGGGCGGGTTTCACGTGTATACAATAAAAAGGTTTTTTTTTTCATTTTCTCTATTGGTCTATTTTATCGGACACCAAAGTTTTGCCGCATGATTGCGTTCAATTTACAGTTTGGCAGCAATCATTTATGTATCCTTTATTTGATTGCCGCATTGTGTGTGCCACACAGAGCTCGCCACAAAAACAAATTAACAGTGCCTCAAAATAATAATAATGTAATATCTCAAAATAATAATAAGGCATTTATTTATAAATAATTTTTAGTTCAATATAAAAGTTTTTACTGTTTATTTTGATAATTTTATATGAAATTAATCTAGTATTTTTTTTCTATTTGAACAATAAGCACGAAACTATTTAAAAACTGGCAGAGGAAGTTTAGTATAAATATTTGAAGATTTGTTTACAGCTATTGAATATCAATTGATCATAACTAAAAAACATCCCATGATTAAAGCAGCAGTAAATGAACACCCTTATTAAAGGACAACATCATGAATTAAAATTTATTGAAAAAGACGGAATTGATCCGAGCAGCCTATGGAAAATTGATATTTGTATGTCTCATTAGGTTACCTTTTCATATTCTAGTCAGCTCGAGTACCACAACAAGTTATCCGGAGAAAAATTCTAGTATATGTACATTTTCGTTTTGGATAGAGTAAGAAAATACGTGCGAAACATGTTTATCAAGGATGTCACCAATGAATTGCGGTCGAAGAAGCAGCCGCTGGCCGCTGGCCAAAAGGTTGCCCCATATGTGGTAGCCGTGAAGCGTGGACCCTATACACTAACAAATCCCGTGTACAATAACCCGGACGTTGAGGACAATAGCTCCAAGATGCACAGTCATACATTTAACATCAACGTGACTGCTTTGAAGAACAACCACAAATATCATCAGCGGGCAATTCCGCCGCCCGTAGCCAAGGTTCATTTACCCAGGATCAAGTCTCGTTCCCATTTGGGAATGAATGAGCAGAGGGACCTGTATCGCCAGCATCGGGACCGCCTGGCTAATATCAAGGGCAAGGTGAACACTTGCTTGCCGCCGCCAAAGATGAAGATTAGCGAGGGCAATGGCATGGAGCTATCCTACATGGAGATGCTCACTGCTCTCTATCGCAAAAGCAACAATACGCTGCGCACCTTCACCAAGTCGCCAGATCGCCTGGCCGCCGGCCGCTGGCGTAACACCAGCTTGGCCCGGGAAAAGGAACGCAACCAGCAGGAGAAAAATAAAATTTTTCATCAGGGCGGCAAACTGTTTGATCCACACTTGGGCAAGTCGCGACGCAGCAAACCCAAGGCGTCCAAGGTATTTAGCTATGAGGTGCCGATGCATGTGCTCCATCGGTACGAGGCTCTGATGAACATCTGCGATGTGGGCGTACTCTGCAAGCTGCTGCGTCCTCAGATTTATATGGATTTGGAAGTGATTGGCACACGCATCATGGGCCGCCTAACCATTCAGCTCTTCACGGAGGCCTGTCCCCAGGTGGTGCTGGAATTCATGCGGGTGTGCACCCACCAAAACACTCGCAGCATTAGCTTCACTCGCACCTTTGCACCCATTTGGCTGGAGGGCTTCATTGCTCTGGATCCCGAGCGTAGCATTGACATGAGCAACATCGAGCATGACTTTGAGGTGCTCAACCATGGCGTCGATGCGGGCATTCTCTCTTTTCCCAGTCGCTATGTGCGCGGCAATGCGCGCACCGCCCTCAACTTTACCCTCAGCTTCAAGCCGCTGTCCATTTTGAATGGTAAGCGCGTTGCCTTTGGCAAGGTCCGCAAGGGTCTGCAGCTGCTCGAGCGCATTCAGGATGCCACCGCGCATTTGGCCAAGAAGCACGAGCTGGTTGTCCTCAAAGACTGTGGTGTGCTTTGAACATGAACCGAATCGAATATGCGTATGTGCAAATTTCCGATAGGGGCTGCCTTCAGCTACACACGCCTGTCCCTATCTATGTGTTCTTATTAAAATGACTTTTTTGCTACCTAGATGTAACCATTTTAGAAATTCAAGATAAGCTCAATATAAAATTGTATGTTAACTTTATGTATGTTTTTGTGCAAACAGGACGAAGCAGGGCTTCTCCGAACCCATATTGTCTATCAGTATCCGAGGTAGAAATGTCCTGCCGTCCTTCAGTCTGTACTAATGCAATAATCCCAAATCAAACTATCGATAACCCTTGCCATTTCGCCGCATTCGATTTACCCCGATAATTGCCTCTATTTAAGGAATAGCTCGAAAAACCAGAAAAATGTATTCGAAAAGCCGCCCTCCAGAAAAATAAAAATAATATGCAACTTAAGCCTTTGGCTTATGCACACATTTAGTAGCTATAAATAAGCCCTTAAAGTTCTCATAGAGTTTGGACTTTAAGCACCGAAGTTAATGAAATAGCAAAAGCAGGCTTAATATATTTGCAAAAAGCAGCTAATTACAACTCAATTTTCTTCGCTTTATTTGCAAAGAGTATTTAAGATATTTGGAGTATACAATTCCCATATATTTGGATTATAAATATATATTGAGCGACCAAAAATTCCTCCAACGAGCAAATCAAATGTATTTTGAATAACGTGTTGGCCTCGAAAATATATTCACATATAACTTATTTTGGTCTAAAATGGAATTTCAAAATTCATTAATATTTCATTCGTTGACATTTGTATAGCTCCAATTCGTTTTAATCCTATAAAATTCCGTTTCCAAGTTTCGAGCAGCTGTTTTTGTTGTTATTTTACTTCGTCAACAATGGTCGGTGATGGTTTAAACAGTCCCCGCCATCAAGGCGGGAAAAAAGTAACTTCAGAGTTAGGGAAAGCAATTCCAGACAAGTACATGATGCGTAACACTCGCGTTCTGAGTCTCGGGAAGGCACAGCTGAAGTGTCTGCCGGAAAATGTCATTGACACGGCTTGCGATGAGCAGGTGAATATCGTGAGACTTGAGGACAATCTATTGACTGATGTGCCGACTGAGCTGTACAAAATGAGCGAGCTACTCACCGAGCTGGTTCTGGCCAAAAACCAGCTCTCCTATATACCCACGTTCATATCGCAGTTTTCGCGCCTTAACGTTATGAACTTGTCGTGCAATTTGCTGCGTGGCTTGCCCATGGAATTTGCCGGCCTTCAAATGCTGCGCGAATTGAACATATCGCACAATCGGCTGGATCACTTGCCTAGCTGCATCTACGAACTGAACAACCTCGACACGCTCATCGCCAACGATAATCGAATCAAGGAGCTGGATGCCACCGAAGATGGACTCGGCGCTTTGAGCCAGCTCAATGTGCTGGATCTAAGCAACAACGATATTCAGCTGGTGCCACCCGTGTTGGGTAAAATGACAAATATAACAGAATTGAAATTGTCTGGAAATCCGTTCCGTCAGCCACGTCATCAAATTTTAGCAATGGGCACCGCGGCCACAATGGATTATCTACGAGGACGCATTCCCCTCTAGAATAATGGCGATATTTGTCTTATTTTAATAAATCGTATCGTACCTAAATATTTGTAGAAACATATCTTTGGCTAGCTTAAGCCAACAAAAGTATGGCAGAGCCTAAGTACAATTTTGAATATATACCAATATAACCCATTCTCGAATCTTGAGTAGGTATCTTCCTATTTTTAAATAATTTGATTAGACTTTTTTCTGGGTTAGGCTTTTACGAGTCACCTTTAAAATTTTCTGAAATGCGCAACGCATCCAATATATGATAGAATTTTAGTTATTTCTGTCTGCATTTAATTGGTTGAGAGAAAATATCGATACGTTTGAAAAATGTAAGGATCTAAGCAGGCAAAGCACTTAATCATAATAATAAATATTTGTAGCGCGCAGTCTCTGAAAATTCGTAACACAATTCAGAAGTTTTCTTACATAATCTAAGAAACAAAGCCGTTAAACAAAATAGAAAGGAAATAAAAATAAAATATTTAAAAATGTCGGACTCAAAACGTGTAAGCCAAAAGTCACGTTCTAGTACTCCAACTGCGTAAGTTGTAAATTGTAGCCGTCGGTTCTATATTAAGTTAAAATTCCATGTGTAATACTTTATAGCCACTATCAGGCCTACGGAGGCGATGCGTTCGTGCAACATTTTGAGAAGCGAGGCGCACGCGAAATTATTATAATGGATTCGATAGGCAAGCCAATCCGTTCCACAGTTAGCCAGAGGCGGACATATAATTATGCCTCGCTCCTAAAGCCATTGGCCACAATGGCACGCAATGTGGTAAGGGACTTGGATCCGGCTAACGATGTGACCTTTATGCGTTTACGCTCCGAAACACATGAGGTGCACATGTCCCTCAACACGGAGTTCATAGTGGTCGCCATACAGAAACTGAAACGAAAAGCTAAATAGTTATATGCACAACTAAAAAAGGACAGGTGTGGGTGTGTGTGTGTTCATGGGGTAACTGTTAAATATGCGAAACATATATCATAGCAAATCCTTAATATAGGGCCTATTGGATTACATAATAAAACTTGGAAAAATTTGAAAGCAATTGAAAATTCATGAACATCACAAATTTCTTATTTCTGCATTTGTGTTAATTGTACAGATTGCAAATGTTTAAAGTGTTTGCTAAATCGATTTAGTTAATTTGTGTACAAATTAGCGTTAGCAAACAAAAACTGTTATCGAATCCGAAACCAAATGTTCAATGAAAGCATATTAAGTATTCGCTGCGTTGGCTGGATTGAAGCATGATAAACGGTTTACAAATCCAGCAAAACATTGCCTGCAATACATCAAAGCGTCAATTATGCACAGGCAATAAAGACACCCCCCCCCCCCCCCCCGCCACTCGCCCAACACACCCCACACAGAGTCTGTGTGTCTGCTCAACCGAGCATGGCACCAGGCGAAACACAATTACCTCGACACATTCATTAATCGTTGCAGCTGGCATTTTTGACTTTGTGTAGTGACTTTGTCCTGGTGATGTGCAGCTTCATTAAATATCAATCACTGTTCTGGGCCTTTGCAACAGAGACGCGAAATTTAATGTCAAACAATCTTTGACTCTAAATATCCACTACAAATTGCAAAAATTCACGGATATTAGCAATTACATATGCACGTTTTTCTCGGGAATTTTGCTCGTAGTTTTTCCATTAAGTTAGCCTTGATACCCTTTCGGCATCAAATGTTTATTGAGGGGCATATTGGGAACGAATAGCAGCAGCAGCTATCGTTGAAAGCCTTGCTATATATCCTTCCGCATAAAGAGCCAAAGAAACTACTAAGCCAAAAAGGCATTAGCTCTGTAAATTCTAGTAAATTAATACGATTTATAAATACTTTTAAATTAACATATTCAATTAATTTATATGTTTTTATACATGCAATGAGTATCTATTCAATTAATTTCAGATTTAATAATGCCTGACTGTTACCTTCATTTGAATGCAATATTATCATATATATTCCAAGCTTCGTTGAAGCGCAATATTATCATATATTAGTTAGACAGTTATATTCTGAAGTTGGGCCCCTAAATTAGAAAGTCTAAAGCGAATCCATTAAATTCGTAATTGTAGACATGTATTTAAACAAAATAACATAAGGGTTTTAACTAATCGAGGGCACTTTATCAGACGATTCCTTTTTGTTTGTTTATTTGTTTAATTTCTAGCATTTTGTTTCTGCTCTATTGGCATCATTTGTTTATTGCAGGAAGCCCACCATGCCACAAAATGGCGCGTGTCGCCTATGCTAAATGGGCTAATTCACACGCACACACACAAAAGACACACACACCAACTGTTTGTGTAGCCATATTGGCTTTTATATTGCATTAATGTATGCGTATTTGTTTAAAATGTTGCTTTTGTTTTCCACCATTTATGTAGCGGCTTTGGAATTGCATTTTGCTGCTATTTATCCGCATTGCTCACATATGTTTTGTTGCCTTATTTAACTATTGTATTAACCGACAGCGCTCAAATATTTATGCTGGTCGCTAGAGAGGGAGGGGGGGAAGGAAGAATATTTAGAATGAGGGAATATTGCTGCGGGCAGTAACAACAAATGTATATTTTTATAAAATGTTAAGCCCTTAGCAAAATATGCAGCATATATAAATAGGTAAATGTAAGCAAATATGCAACAATATTATTAATCCACGTATCCACATTAAAGCTACATTTTTTATTCCTTGGAGAAATATGCGCCATAAATAAAAAATATAAATATTCCTATTTTATTATACCTCTGTTTTACCCATTAAATCAACACTGTAAAAATTGAATATTATTTTACAACACTTTGAGTTGCATGTTTGATTAATATTACCAAGAAGGATTAAAATTCTGTAAATAAGCGGCAAAGAACGGCTGAAATACTCTTTGGACTGCTGCACTGAATCCTCATTTATCATAGTCCTGCCACAAGGATAAAAATATCGTTAAGCCGCGCTGACTCTTGAAGCGGTAACAACGTGATTAAGTGGACAAATTCAGTGGCACATGTTGACATTTAATTTATTCGACTCCGGCGCCAATACAATATAATTCAGTAAACAGAACAAACGACACGATGTTGATTTTTAATGAATATTCAAGAGTTATTATTCATGTAAAAGTGACGAATGGCGCACATGAAATATGAATGTCAATGAGACTCGAAATTTTTGCAAATATCCTTAAATTCCCCCTACTCTGTAGGATGCGGCATTTGCATTCTACTAGCCGTAATACATGGTATTGACACCCGCCTGCAAAATAATAATAATAGTTGTTGCCCCACTGTGCTCGTCTGACAGCCAAATTTAAAATGACCATGACACTGCCGATTGAAAATCATCAAAGTTGACATCGGATTTCGACTGTTGACTGCATGTGGCTTTCGGATCGCCTCCAGCTAAATTGGAATCCCCGAATCTGTCGTCTGACCTTGATGAAACGTGAAATTGCTGAATGCCTCGCTGGAGATTTACACGGTGTAGGGCTATTTTCGCAGACATTGACAATTCAATTGAATTGGGCCTGAGGTGATAAATATTAAAATATACATACATAAATCTGATAATCGCGATAAACATTTAAACAACTTATATTTAAGGCTCAATCCATTTTATGATAATAACATGAATGTGAAGAAAAGATGCTGTGTGCGCAATTCCCAACTTATAAAGCTTAACAAATATTAACATACATCTTTATTTCCACTTAACTCCGTGCTCTTTCCATTCAAATTTCCCAAATAAGAAGTCAATTGCAGAGCTTATACAAAAAATCATTTCCCTTTTATTATCTATCAAAGGACATCTTCATGACTAATTCAGTTAGTCATCCTGTTTATTTATATATGTGAAGTCAACTGCAAAATAGCAACACGATGGCCATTAAGCAGCATCCGGCCCAGCAGCTGACCACCTATGTGTCCTGTGGCAGGACACATTGTGCAGGATAGTGTCCCTTTAACTCAACATTCATGTGACTAATGGTCTTTCCTTTGCCACATTTGTGGAGCATTCATCATGCGAGATGTGGGCCGTTCAACATGTGTTGTCCTAATTAGTTCCAGGGCTGACCCAAAGCATGTGGAATATGGCGGATGATTTAGTTGACGTCTGGAGTTATAAATGACGGTGCCTTTATGATAACCTCATTTTCTTATTTTTATTTGCCAGTTATTCAGAGTTAACTGTGTTATTAACTGCTTAATATTTACGTTGACAATTGGAAAAATCAAAGGAATAAAATCGCTTTCTGCTGTGAGTACACCAGAGATGAATTTGAATAAATAAACTATACTTGGCAATTAATGGCAGTAATGTGCTTAAATAATTGTCACTTCTTTAAAATTGATATAATGTCAGTCTTAATAAAGTCAGAATATGCATTTAATGAATGTGAATATTCAACTCCTTTTGTAAATTATATCGTATTTATCGCTTCATCTTGATTGAATAGACTGAACAAACTAAAAAGAATTGCCCATACGCCGTGTGGTCCCACGCATTAATTAAATGATTCAACACGCACTCAAACAAACACACACACACACACACACACTCACACTCATACTCTCACACATTGTTCTGCTGTGAATTAATGCCAGCGATCATTGTTTTTGTAATTGACGTCAGTGGTCTTGAAGGACAAAAGCTTCCGCAATTTACACTTTATATTAAGGCATTATTAATTTTAATTACATTCCAATTAAATCTCAATTAAACTTGGGTGCTTCAGCTCCGTTCGCCTTCGAGCGTGCTGGCACTCGTTTGATTTAACTTGGATGCAATTACCATTTAATAAACGACTATTTAATCAACGGATGCGACTAGGAGCTCACACACAGACACACACACACGTAGAAGGGCAGACATCATTAGCATAGAGCTGTGCATACGAGTCACTTATATACATACCTATTTGCTGTGCGTGTGTGTTGTCTTTGAGTCAATAAGCTTATGAGAAATGTTAACTTGGCTGTAGTTTTAATTGCGTTTTATTATTTAAAGCGCACAAAACAACTGCAAATCGAAAATCGTAAATTTAATTATTTTCATTGTTTAACTTGCATTGTTCTTGTTAAAGGTAATTATTATTTTGGGCACTGAATGTAAACAATATTCCATCTGAAGTTACTTAATTACAAGTGGAGATTTGCTTCTCCCAGCTTCATAAGCACAAATTGCGACTCAGGCAGCAAAAAAGCTCTCAAAGCTATGTTAAGTTTTCTTCGTGCTACAGGCTTATATCTTGCTGCCTTACAATCTGACAAACTGACAGCCACGCTGGAAATGTACTTCCTTCATAGCCTGGCATTTTCCAAGAACAGAATGAACATTTCTTAATAATGCCAAAACTGCCAAGGGGCATGACCATAATTTCATGCAGTGGCTAAAAGAAAACAGCAGTCACGGCACAGTCCAAATGAGCTGTGCCTATCAAACACACACAGACACACACGGACAGCCACAGCGTAGGCAACCTGTCTACACCTCAGCTAACCAGAAAAGTAAAGTTCCACCCACCCATACACAAATGCACATGGGTAACTACGCTTATTTCGTACCCAAAAACTAACACGAATTGGCCCCAAGCCAAAACTACCGACAAGTTTACAATGCGACGCCAATGTGCTGGCAAAAAGGCGGTGCCACGCCTTATTCGAAGCAGCTCCACACAGTGGAGTTTATTTGTAATCTTACATTATGAACTTAATGCTTAAGAAATTTATAATTATATGGTTCAAGATAAATGAAAAATTCTCTCAAAAAAAAAAAGATAATCAAATCGAAATTAAGTAAGACTTCTTTGAAAAACTTGGGTCATCTATTATGATCTCGAATTGAATTATATTAAAATATTCAAAACTATAAATATTTTTACAAACATTATACTAGTTCAAAACTATAAATATTTTTACAAACATTATACTAGTTCATTAACAAAATTATTTATTGAATGTAAAGTATAATCATTTATTTTATTTGTTGAGTAAAGTGTAAAAAGCCCTAAAATTCGATACAGAATCTTAGAGCTCACATTTAACAATTTTTTAAGC